TTGGGCATCTTTGAGATTTAGAATGGTACTATCTCTTTGAATCCTCATAAGGTCCACAGACTGTTTCCTAGGCATTTTGGGCATCTTTGAGATTTAGAATGGTACTATCTCTTTGAATCCTCATAAGGACTGTTCTGGGACTTGCTTCAAAAATTACTTTTCCTTTTTCTTTACTGTTCTATTTCATCTTCACTGAATTATTTCATTTCACCTATGTGTGTATTCAAGTCTTCCTCCCTCCCTCCAACATTCTAGGAGAAGGAAGAATTATTTTCTCAATCGTAGTATCCCTGTTAAGCTTTCATCCTGTTTTTCTCTCCTTTAACCACAGTGGTATTCACTTAATACTTCCACCTCTTAACATCACCAGTTGTTCAACCTCATGCAATCTGAATTTGATAAGGAAAATGTGGTTCATATACACAATGGAGTACTATTCAGCCATTAAAAAGATGAGATCCAATCATTTGCAACAACATGGGAACTGGAGATCATGAAGTGAAATAAGGCAGGCACAGAAAGACAAACATTGCATGGTCTCACTTTTTTTGTGAGATCTAAAAAGCCCTCAACCACTTTTCTGAAACTTTTTTTTTTTTTAAGAGAATCAACTAGCATCTTCTGGTCAATAAGTCTAATACTTTTTATTTTAAGGTCTGATTTTTTTTTTTTTTTTTTTTTTTTTTTTTTTGCCTGTCTATAGGCACTGATAGCTATGTCTTTTTTCTTGTTCATATCTCCTTCCTAGGTTTCTCTTAATTCTCCTGCATCTGCCTTCCCTGACTCTTCTTCCTTCCCTTACTGACAGTGTTTACCAAGGATTTCCCTTGGCCTGCTTCTTTCCTTGATCCTCATTTAAACCTTTCCCTTCAGCTGAAGACCTCATTTGCTTCTCCAGCTCTACTGCTATTCCATTCTTCAGTCGATTGTTAAATATGGCCCACCATCACCTCAAATATGATGTTAAAGATGTCTCCATTTTTGATCAAACTTAAGTTTCTTCCTGTGGATCTATTGCTAAGCACCCTCATCTTTCCTATCACCTAGAGGATAACATTTCTTTGATAAACATTTCTTTGATTTTTTTCCCTTTTGTTTGCCACATCTAATTAGTTGCCAAATCTAATAGTTTTAACTTCCATGATATCTCACTTCTTTTTCCCCATTTCTTTTTTTTATTTTAGCTTTATTTTTTTTTTCATTTTAGCTTTATTCTTTTATGAACTCCCAAGCACTCAGATTCCCATTTCTATTGTGACTATTCTACGTTAGACCCCAATTTCAGTCAGTCTTTTGCAGTGACTCTCCCACAAACTTCCTATTGTAGAATTGTAGAAAGAGCATGCGCTCTGCAGTCACGTAGACCCAAGTGCTAATTGTAAAGATGACCATTCTGGCTGTCTGACTTACAGAAAATTATTTAACCTTAATTTGCAAATAAAGTTTAGGCACAGAAAAGCTAGGCATTCCAGTTCAGTCACAGAGAAGTTAGTCATTTCTACTTCATGAAGTATGCCATTCTGAAGGGTAATGGGACAATGTGTGCTTAGTGAGAAGGTACTCGCAAAAAGATTATTTCTTCCTCCTTTATTTTGATCTCTTTACAACCTACTAATAGATTAATATTCTTTAAGTATAACCTTCATCATATGAGAATCTTGTTCTTCAGTGGTTCCCCGTTGTCTAATTTTCCATAGTTCTTAGCCTAGAATTTTATACTATTAATTTGTGTCCACCTCCCTTTCTGACCTTATTTCTCCCCACTCATCACCAACATCTCTTTGAGCCAAAGCAAACCACTAGCAATGCCCTGTAGCAGAATGGCTGAGAACATGAATTCCAGAATCATCTAAATCCCAGTTCACTTGCTTACTTTGTGTCTGTGAGCAAATTATTTAATGTCTCTAAACCTTTCCTATTCCAGGGGGTAGGGAGCAAGATAATTATAGTGCCCTACTGCATTGGGTTGTTGGAAGGATAAAGTGAGACCAAGTATATAAAGCAGTTGGTGCCTGGTGTATTGAGAGCAGTCACTGCTGGTAGAAGTAGTAATTTTTGATGCTGCTGTTACTCGTTTCTCCCAGGTCCATCTCCATCACATTCATGTACTCTTCTCTGCATGGAATGCATTTCTTCCCCTTTGTATCTGACTACATTTTATCTGTCTTCAAAGATCTTTCCTAAATCTTGTAACCACCCTGCCCCTACTTGTATCTTTCCACTTGATCATTCCCCTACCTCTTTTAGCTTAGAATGCTTATTACTTTCATATACTTATCTGTACTACCTCTTATAACAGACTAGAAGTGCCTTGAGGGCAGATTATGTAATTCATTTTTTGTGTCTTCTAAAGCATAGCATCTTAACACAGAACTATGCCAGAAAGTATTTACTGAATAAATACATTAATTTACTGTAACTAATAGCCCTTTGGTTCCAAGAGGTTTATTCTCACTTCTTTAGGAGCTTTTGCAGAATCTCCATGAACCATTGGTACATTTTCAGAAACGTAATTTTGTTATCATTATGCCATCTTTGGGTTCAAGAACACTGAAGAAATGACATTGTAGCAGAAGGCAATAATAACAAGCAAAACAAAAAAAAATGATGAGGTGGCACTGCTTTGGATCTAGCAAAATTATTGTATTTCTACGCTGCCTCTCATTTGTTACTGTTACAAATACTCTACACCGAATGTTATAGTACCTAGAATTGTGCTGAATTGAAGTGTGCAGTAAGCATTTTTGAATAATAGTGGATCTAAAATCTGCTTTACTGAAGTTAAAAAAAGCGTAAATAGCTAATGCATTAAAATGTGGTTAAATAGCTCAGTTTGTTAAAATGAGAAATTATTCTTAAGGAGTGTCACTGAATTATTTCATTTCACCTCTGTGAAATGTTGTGTGCAGTTGGAGTATTCTCTCGATAACTTCTCAAGGTACAAGCCACAGAACCTGGAAAGTGGGTAGAGGTGGAAGTGGGGGATCTCTAGAAGTCCTTCCCCACAGTGAGTTGGCACAACACCAGCCTGTCCTTCAGCACAAGGTGTACTATGTTCTTGTTAAAGAAGGCTTATGCTTTTTAAGGCTTTATGCCTTGAAAAATATTTTTGGTCATTTTGAAATAATTTGTAAGTGGTATACTGTCATTTTAAAGAGAGTGCTGTAAGGCTAAGAGACAAATGTTAGAAATTTAATAAAAATGTATATATATGTACTGTTTATTTCTTAAGTAGGTATTAATCCACTAAAATGGTAATAATTTTCCACTGAATAATGGCTACACCTTATGTGACTGAAAAAGCTAAGGTTTTTTAGTTATAATGCAGAATATTATTTGAGGCTTTTTGTTAAGGTAAACTTGTTTTGTATACTTTAGAAGTCTGATTTATGTAACCTATTCAGATGCCAGGTGGTTTTACTCTTGAGACCTATATTAAGAATGTCCTTTTTTATACAGGCCAGTTCCCCTTACTCATTACTGAAAAGGGGTGAGGAGGGAGGCTGCAAAACATAATTGATGTATAGACCAATTAGATAGATTTTTTTAAATCATGAATTTTTTTTCTTTACTGATATAAAACTTGGAAGCAGTATTGAATTGAGACATTTAATTTTCTATTGTCATATTAAAATCTCAAGGAAATTGATTGAGAGCAGGCAGCTTGTGCACCAAAGAAGTTTTAAAAATGTTATCCTACATAAGCACTTTCTGCTGAACTTGGGGAGTAAATACTTTTTTGTGATAATTGGATTCTTGGGTTTTTATAACTGTTTAGGGAAAATGTTCTGCTGTAATAGCTGAATATAAATTGCAGAGATTTAAGCCCGCCCTTATATTAATGTTTCACCTCATTAACTTAATAGTTAGGGCATTTACACTTCAGTGATTTAAATAAAATACTCTAATGTGATTCTGTCTTCACTTTCCCTCTGTCTCCCTTTTGAAGTCTAGATGATAATGTATTTGTTTTGTGTTTCATGTAGACCCTGTTGTTAATTCTATTAAGAGTAAGATGACGATGATGATGAAGGGAAGCTATTGTATAACTCTTAAGCTGCAGAAGCCCAGGAAGATAAGGGAATGTGTTTATGAAAATAGAGTGGTCACTTCTTCACCTGGTGTTTTGTCACTTTTACCTTAGAGTGTTATTCAGAGGATCAGGAACTTCATAGCTCTAAGACTTCATTCTGTTCTGGAGTTCAGATTGCTGATTCTATATGAGCTTTCACACATATCCAGTGGTATTTATAGCCCTGGAACCCAAATAAGGGAAAGTCTTACTTAAAAGTAAGCTATGTTTGTCCTTAAAAATGTTTCCTAAGCAGTTTCAAAAAAAGTAGGGTTATGCAATGAATTTCCAAGCAAAGTCACCTTTACAAATACTAGCACCTACTTGCAAATAGTAGACATGTTTACGCAGTAAGGTTTTTTCTAAATGATTTACTGCCAGTTGTGAGCATTCCTTAGCACTGTCTATCCCAAATGCAAGTTATATGTCTTTGTTAAAAATGTAGAGAAAGGCCAGATGCAATGTCTCATGCCTATAATACCAGCACTTTGGGAAGCCAAGGCCAGAGGATCATTTGAGGCCAGGAATTCAAGACCAGCCTGGGCTACACAGTGAGACCCTATCTCTCCAAAAAAATTCAAGAAAAAATTAGCCAGGCATGGTGGCACATGCCTGTAATCATAGATGCTTGGGAGTCTGAGGCATGAGGATCACTTGAGACCTGGAGTCTGAGGCTTGTAGTGAGCTATGATCGTGACACAGTCTCCAAAAAAATAAAATGCGAGAAAAATAAGTTAATTTAAGGGAAATGAAGCTTTTATGTTGTCAAGCATTTTTAATTTTATAAGCATATTTAATTGTGAATATATGTTGTTAAATCTATGAAGTATCTGTTTGACCCATTTAAGTTGAGCAATGAATTTGTTTTACATGAGTTCATCTATGTGAGGTATTGGTTTCATTTCTAACTATTTCTTTTATTTTCCAGCTCACCAGCGACTGGAACCAGCAACTCTGTCAGGGATTGTGGGATTTATCCTTAGTCTTTTATGTGGAGCTCTGAATTTAATTCGAGGTTTTCATGCTATAGAAAGTCTCCTGCAGGTACTGTACTATTTTTGCAATTTCAGGGGACAGTGCCTATTCATTCTACTTGTTACATAATTGATTTGAATTGGATTGAGTATTAAGTACAATTTACAGTGCATGCTCAAAATCTATGTTTTGTGTATCTGCTTTAGTCTCTTTTTTTTCTAAAAACACTGGTTGGCTTCTTTGAGTCTGTCAGCACGTTTATCTATCATCTGCTGTTTAGGAGGTATTATTTATAGGCACTCCGGGGACACCAAGATATGTGTGACATAGGCCCTACAGTCTCATAAATGAAAGTTTAATTGGGGAGGCAAGGAAGTTAATTGCCAAATACAGAGTTGGGGAGAGGTCAGTATGAATCAGGATTGGAGAAGGAAGGTTTTATGGAGGAGAGTTGAGCTGGCCCTGGAGAGATCTGACTAGACAGAGAGCAGTAGAAGAATGGAGAGGGTACATGGGGATTGTGTTTGTTCCACTCCTGTGTATCCCCTATTTAGTTCATCTGCTCCCTTTTCTTTTTTGTTAGTGGCTTCTTAAAACTTGAGCTTTCTGGGAAACCACAAATTTCTTCAGATACTGCCACCTATTTTATTTTCCAGTGGAATTCCTTTCAGAAACTATAGCTATCAGAGTATACTATTTTTTTCTCATATGCTTTTTTGTAAACTTTTTGAAATTTTCTTTCTTCAAGGTTAGCATATTTGAGACAGCACAGCTTTCTTTTCCCTTATTTCTATTCACTTTCTCTGAAGAGCTCTTGACACTTCTATATTATGAATCAGTCCTCTTTTTTTGGTCAGCATTAAGTGCAGAATACCATTTGTAAGAATCCACTCAGCACACTTTATATTCTGTTTTAAAATTGCTGTTTGGGGAACACTCAGAGGGTATCTTTCTGCATCTGGTTAGCCATGTAAAACCAACAGCAGATGACATCACAGGTTCCAGCAGCAGAACTGTTCCTAAAGGAGATGGACAGGACTTCTTGTGACTTCATAATTCCTCTTCCAAACACCCTCTGCCTGCAGGTTAAAGCTCCGCTCCCCTTTTAGGCACAGGCCAGTTGCCATCCCTCGGCCTTTCTATTCCCTGTCCCCCTGCCAGATCAGATTTATTCCAGCAGAAGGAGTTCAGTTTTTAGCTGTTTAGATGGCTTAACAAAAAAAAGAAACAAAGGCAATTTGGAGACTGCTGGTGGAAAAAGCTTATGAATAAGATACTTTTCTTTTTTTGGTATGAATGTAGTGGAAATAACAGTAGTGTAGGGGTATGAAGAGTTGTTGGTGGGGCAGGCTTGGGCTTGGGTAGAGAAAAGCTTGACCACTGCAGATCCTTACTATCTTTGACTTATAAAACTGTATGCAAGTTACAGAACCTGGGGTTTAGATTGCATTACGTTTGAGTTAAAATTTAGACAAGGCTATGGTATTTCACAAAACCAATTTAAGGGAACAGTAATTTATTTCAGGCACTCAAATATTATGTCCCTACTCTTCTTGGGCTGATTTCTTTTTTCCTCCTCTGATTTAAAACTTAAAAACTAAGGAAAGTAGTATAAATTACAGCTTTCATGCTTTTCAGATGCTGCAACTGGCTTAAACCTATCTTGTTTTCTAATTGTTCCATGTCCTCCCTCTGATCATAATGTCTCTGGCTCATTACAGTTCATAGAGTTTTAGGTTTCAGAAGAACAATAATCTGATTAATTACCACTTAAGTGTAACTGATAGCCCTGACATTACCCAGCCTATTATACATTTTTAAATGACAACTTTACAGACCATGAATATAGATACAAAATCCTCAACAAAATACTATCAAATTGTATCCAACAATGTACAGAAATAATTAACACCACAACCAGGTGGAATTTATCTCAGGTATCCAAGGCTACAGACCATTAGCAGCCAATTAATCCATCACATCAACAGGCTAAAGAAGAAAAATCACATGATCATATCAGTAGGTGCAGAAAAAGCATTTGACAAAATCCAAACTCTATCCATCATAAAAACTTGGAACAAACTAGGAATAAAGGGGAAATGTCCTCAATTTGATAAAGACCATCTATTAAAAGAATCTACATCTAACATCATCTTTAATGATGAGAAACTAGATGCTTTCCCCCTAAGACAAGGAACAGGGCAAGGATGTCCCCACTTAACACTCTGTTCAGCATCATACTGGAAGTTCTAGTTGATGCAATAAGATGAGAGTAGGAAATAAAAGATACACAGTTTAAGAATTAAAAAAAAAAAACTGTCTTTGTTCATAGATGATATGACTGCGTAGAATATTGTTAATTCTTTTTCTATATAGAATATCCCCAAAATCAACAACAAAAACCTGGAATTAATAAGTAATTGTAGCAAGATTGCAGAATAGGAGGTTAATTTACAAAACTCAGTTGCTTTCCTATATACTTACAAAGAACAATTAAAATTTGAAACTAAAAATACAATACCATTTATAGTGACACCAGACCAAAAAAGAGACACTTATGGGTAAATCTAATAAAGTATATACAAGATCTTTATGAGGAAAATATTACAACTCTGATCAAAGAAATCAAAGATCTAAATAAATGGAGAGATATTCCATGTTTATAGAGAGGAACACGTAATATTGTTTAGGTGTCATTTCTTCCCAACTTGGTTTATAGGTTCAATACAGTCCCAATCAAAATTTCAACAAATTATTTTATGGATATTAACAGTGATTCTCAAGTTCATATAGAAAAGCAAGGACTCAGTGTATAGGGAAAAACAAACTGTTAGCTTCTGTACTAAGGATTCTCAATACTTTCAGAACTTCATTTTTGACACCAGGTGTGTGTAGGGTTTTCTCACATCAACAAATTCTCCAGTACCAGCTAGGTGTCCTTTAATTCAAATCATTTTCAACACTATCTACCTGGAGTTAGCCCAGACATCACAAGTAAAGAGTTTAATCCCACAAGACTGCCCCCACCTCAGATGCTAGTTGCAAGTTGGGGTTGTCACCAATTGGATGTTCCCACAACCCCCTCCTTGAATTCAGTAATCTATTAGAATGGTGCACAGAACTCAGAGAAATATGTTTACTGGTTTATTATAAAGGAAATTACAAAGAATAAAGGTGAATAGCCATGAAGAGTCTGAAAGAGTCCTGAGCACAGGAACTTCTGTCCCCATGGGATTGGGGTTTGCCACCCTCCTGGCCCATGGTACCCACCCAGAAACTCTGTGAACCCCATCTTTTAGGGATTTTTATGGAGGGTTCATCATGTAGGCATGATTGGTTATAAATTCAATCTCTACTTTCTTTCCCTGCTCCGGAGGATGGAGGTAGGACTGAAAGTTCTTAGCTTCTAATCATGGCTTGGTCTTTGTCGTAACCAGCCCCCATCTAGGATCTCACCAAGAATTGCCTGATTAGAATAAAAGATGCTCTTATTACCTGGGAAATTGCAAGGGATTTAGGAGTTCTGTGTCAGATGCTGTTTTTTCTTTTATATATATATATACACACACACACACACGCGCGCGCGCGCACGTGCGCACATGTATACATATATACACGTGTGTGTGTGTGTGTGTGTGTGTGTGTATATATATTTTTTTTTTGAGATGGAGTCTCATCCTGTCCCCCAGACTAGAATGCAGTGGTACAACCTCGACTCACTGCAACCTCCACCTCCTGGGTTCAAGCGATTCTCCTGTCTCAGCCTCCCGAGTACCTGGGATCACAGATATGTACCACCACACCCAGCTAATTATATATTTTTAGTAGAGATGGGGTTTCACCACGTTGGTCAGGCTGGTCTCGAACTCCTGACCTGACATGATCCGCCTGCCTTGGCCTCCCAAAGTGCTGGGATTAAGGCGTGAGCCATCTCGCCTAGCCTCAGATCTTAACACTCTGGAAATTGCAAAGGTTTCAGTAGCTCTGTGTCAACCCCAGGGTCAGTGACCAAATTTGGGGAACAAAACAAAAAAGACCAAATATGGGAACAAGAGTCTCCTAGCACCTTTATTTACAAGGGTTTTAGGAGCTCTGCATCGGGAACCAGGGGCATATTACACATACGCTCATTAGTAGTTGAGGTTCCTGAGAGAAGGGTTTTAGGAGCTCTGTATCAGGAACCAGGGGCAGAGGAGAGAAGGAGAGTATGTGGAACTCTCTGCTCAATTTTCTGTAGACCTAAAACTGCTCTTAAAAAGTCTATTTTAAAAATCCATCATTAAAACAAAGACTTGCTCCATAATAAGAAGTTAGAGGGAGCTCCCAGTACTTTGGGAGGCTGAGGCAGGCAGATCACGATGTCAAGAGATCAAGACCATTCTATCCAACATGGTGAAATCCTGTCTCTACTAAAAATACAAAAATTAGCCAGGCATGGTGGTGTGTGCCTGTAGTTCCAGCTACTTGGGAGGCTGAGGCAGGAGAATCACTTGAACCCAAGAGGCGGAGGTTGCAGTGAGCCAAGATGGTGCCACTGCACTCCAGCCTGTTGACAGAGATAGAGACTGTCTTAAAAAAAAAAAAAAAAAAATTGGAGGAAACCTGGAAAGGGAGGAATGTTCTCAGTCTGGGCTTTGATATTCTTTAGTTAGGTTTTGCTCTACTTGGCAGTTACAGTAGAACCTGTTGTGCCCAGCTCACTCTTAGGAAGCAGTGGGTTGGACCTTCTCTTCCTGTGGAGGGTCTGAGCCTTCCCCTGCACACAGGCCAGGTAAGGATATTAGAGCCCCAGCCATAATGGATCCTGAAATCGAGAATTCATGTTTCAAGGTTACATGTACAAATGTATGCACTCTCAGAACAAGGGCCATTTTGAGAAAGCCAGTGAGAGACAGCCAGACCAGATCCTCTGGCCTAGTACTTACTAGTCCCTGCCAGCTCAGCCCAAGTATCCTCACCTAGGATAGCTTGGTGGAATCACAATATATTTTAATTTGCATAAAGAAACTCTGGAAGGATAAGAGACTAATAAACATGTTAGGAACTGGACAGATGGGAAATTGATGGAA